CGTGGTTTCCTGTCAAGGATAAGAGGGAGTTGAAAGTGAAGTTGTATCACCCTATGAGTCTGAAAAGTAAGAAAAAGCACATTGCAGGCAAGCTGGAACCTCGAGATTGGAGCGATGTGTACATCATCGGTTACAGAATCTGAAGTTCAACTAGACTCTCGCACTTTCTGGTGGAGCACCATGCCTTTGACATTTAGCACGCAGACATATTTTAAGTGCACATTTAAGGAGAGAACATAACTAGGCTTTTCAATATTTGTGTTGTAGATTTTGAAATGTTTGTCAAGGGTTAAATTAAGCTTATTAAAGAACGCCAATGTAGGAGTAAATGTGTTTTCAAATTTGTATGATCTTTCACAAAGGGGGACGAACCGTAATTATCGAAGCGAAGACTGGTTAGTTGGATACCTTGGTTGATATCCCTAGCTCCATCTCTTGTGGTCAAGCTATGACCGATGTTGCATGGATGATGGTAAATTAAGACCTCTTAAAACTTGACAAGGTGGGAACTGATCCACGACTTACTAACCAAATTTGCATGCGACTCAAGAGGTCCTTTCAGGTAAATTTACATCAAAATGACCGAAGACCGAAGAAGCTTTCGGTCTCGAAATGCACAACTTCATCAAAAGCAGCGTCGATGTGAACAATGAGAAACCAAGAGTTCGGCGCATGCCATTTGTGTTAGGTTTTTGCTAGTTTGCTACAATTCATATGTTGCAGGTTTAAGAACCCTGCGGTTGAACTGGACTATTTTGTCATTTTGATGCAAATTTACCTCAAAGGACCTCTTGACTCGCATACAAATTTGGTTAGTAACTCGTGCAGTAAGAGATGCCCTCTTATGTAGGTAGGAAACCTTGAAATGGATAACTCGCTAAAATGGGTTCTTTAGTAAGCGGTCAGATAACAAGCGATACACTGTGGAAGTAAGGTGAAGTATTTTTTTGGAGAATTTGACCATATTGTTTATCATTCCTAATAGCGGAATAATAATAATCGCCATGACTCTTATTTCGCAAGATGATCATTTCACAGCTGGAGCTTGGGCCACCCGTGGTTCCCCACGCAATTAGTTGATTTGATGTATCTTCGATCAAATACCGCAAACCACGTGGATGAAACCTCATTGGCTGTTTTCATGACAGTTTGGGAGTTGTCTTGTCATACAAAATGGTCCAATCGCTTGATTCCACGTCATTAAAGACCCACATTTCCCTTTGATCGACAACCGTAAACCACGTGGATGAAACCTCATTGGCTGTCTTTACGATTGTATAGGAGTTTATTTTCAAATATAACAGCCTCTCCCTAGTTTAGTTTTGCACGTCGAAACTATTCCTAGTCTAAGAAAGTTCTGTGCAAGCCTTAGGCCAACGAAAATATGCAGTGTGACTGGGTTCCCGTAACTATTTCCCTAGGCCAGCTTCCTGAAAGTGACGATGATAATCCGACTATCTACCCGCTCACACAAGTTCCAGACGGAGCAAAAGAGGTCCTCATTTATACATTCATGACTTCGATGGGAGAGGGTAAGTTTCAGCGAGGCTACTACGAGCTTTTCACGAGCGGCGGTGGCAAGGATTACAAGCAGTACATGAACGTAGCCACTGGCGATAACGTCAACATTGTCAACTCCCTCAACGCGTGGTTTCCTTTTAACAAGGATGAAAAGCAGTTGAAAGTGCGTTTGTATCTCCCTGAGAGTCTGAAACGTCAGAAAAAGCACATTGCAGGCAAGCTGCAACGCCAGGATTGGAGCGAGGTGTTCATCACTGGCTACAGAACCTGAAGTTTAACTGTACTCTTGCACTTTCTGGTGGAGCACCATGCCTTTGACATTTAGCCCGCAGACATATTTTGAGTACACATTTAAGGAGAGAACACATCTAGGTTTTCAAGTTTTGTTTTATAGATTTTGAAATGTTTGTCATAAGGTAAATTAAGCTCATTAAAGAACACCAGTGTAAGAGCAAATGTGTTTTCAATTTTGTTTGATCTTTCACAAAGGGGGACGAACCGTAATAATTGAAGCGAAGACTGCTTACTCGGATATTTTGGCTGTCATCCCTGTATGACAAGACAACTCCCAAACTGTCATAACGACAGCCAATGAGGTTTCATCCACGTGGTTTGCGGTTTTTGATCACAGATACATCAGATCAACAAATTGCGCAGATAACTCTCAAAGAGAGCATGCAGTGAATAACAACCTTCTCATGGAACACTGAGCAAGGACAAAGGCTTCTTTTTCTTTTTCTTAGGGCAAGGAATAGACAGGAACACATCGTTCAAATTAAAATCAGTTCACCTATGATTAGAGTAATAGATCCCGATCAAAGATTTGCTCGTAACTCCGTGGCATCTTTAAGGACTTATCAACTTTTTACTTTTCTAGTATAATTCTTATGAAGCATATTCAGTTTGTCGCTTATGATTTTAGCGATCTATTTATATATAGCATTTACCTAAGACATAAATTCAAAATCGTGAATCATCCAAACGGACTGCTGATATTTCTTCCGTTTGATATGTCTCCTCAAAATACATATCAGATTCTTCGGTAGCCTTGACTTCGGTAGAGCTCATAGGATTCGCTAAGCTCTTGTTTTCGCTTGTTAAACCGATATCTCTCGAATGGTATATTCTTTCGAGGCTGACAGTACTCGGCGAATTTCACTAGACCGGCTCTATTTCGTCTGCGTTCTCGTCGTCTCAGGTAAACGTCGAATAAACCTCTCTACCTTCGTCTCCGATGGCTGTAAGCAGTGTAGCAACCTGTACTGCTTCCGAATTGTTGCCTAATTCCGTCGCCAACGCATAATTTGTCTGCGCCAGAAAAAATCGTTACCATCAGCTCACCTATGATTAGAGTGAGGGATCCCGAGCAAAGAATAGCTCGTAACTCTGTGGCATCTTTAAGGACTTATCAACTCTTTACTTTTCTCGTATAATTCTTATGAAGTATATTCAGTTTAGTGATTTATTTATATCTACTATTTAATCGGGATCCATTATTCTAATGTAGGTGAACCGATGGTGATATGAACGATCTGCTACTGTTTACTCCTAGCTCAAAGAAAAAGAAAAAGAAGCCTTTTGACCTTGCTCAGTGTTCCATGAGAAGGGTGTCATTCACTGCATGCTCTCTTTGAGAGTTATCTGCACAATTTGTTGATTTGACGTATCTGTGATAAAAAACCGCAAACCACGTGGATGAAACCTCATTGGCTGTCGTTAGGACAGTTTGGTAATTGTCTTGTCATACAAATCGGTCTATTGAGTTGATTTCACGTCATCAAGGACCCGCATTTCCCTTTGATCGACCACCGGAAACCACATGAATAAAACCTCTTTAGCTGTCATTACGATTGTATCAGAGTTTTCTTTTCAAATA